GTAGAAGAGCCGCGAAGCTTCAAGGACCTGGTGAGGCCGGGCTGGAGCTGCTTCTGCCCCCGCTGCTCCCTCCCCCATCCCGAGGAGCACCCTTCTGCCCCTACCCCGCATATCAGGCCCGTGGGGGGGCGGGGAAGAGCCCTCCTCGGAGAGCCCCGCGTACCAGGCCGTGCCCCACGCCGCCCCGCTGTGCTTGCTCCGTCGTGGAGCAGGCCCCGGGCTGCAGGTCTCCGCGGGTTGGAGGCGGCCTCAGGCCCGGCGGAGCCGCCGGTGCACGGAGGGCAGACACGTGCGCCGCCGTCGCTCGGCGCGGGCGTGGTGCTGTGCCCGGGCGGGAGGTCTGGGGTGTTTAGGCCTCTGCTCCGGTGGGGGTGGCGTTTGCGCTCCGGTCTGTGCTCCTCAGCCGGCTGTCAGTGTTTTCAGTTGTGTTAATTTGCCCAGGTATTTTCCTTTTTGCATGCTCATGGGATACCCCTAGAGGGGACGAAAGACAGCTGGGTGTGTGTGGAAAGCTGCTTGTGTAAACTAGGAAAAAAAAAAAAAGATTGGTTTCTTACTGATGGCAGTCACCTCTAACAATTTTGAACAAATCTATCAAGTTACTGATGGAGGTGGGGTCACTGTGAGCAGCCTGCCCTTTCATGTAGTTGCACTGAGGGCCTGATGGGGTTGTCTTTGCTAGAGACAACCTTCACTCTGTTGCAGTGTATATTTAACTTAAGTCTATGATTTAATTTAGGTCTCCTTGGTGATGTCTGTTTCCCTTTTCTCTTTTCACTAATGTTCAGGGAGTGACAGATGTCCTGTGTGAAGCTTGTGACCAGTTAGGATGGAAGATGCCAACAAAGATCCAAGTTGAGGCTATTCCAGTAGCTCTCCAAGGTGAGCAGTGTGCTTCTCTGATCCTGAATCTGGGGATGCTCCAGGACCTCTATGTGAATGAATTTTGCTGAGTGAGAAGTGGCAGGGATGAGAGTGTTCTTGCTGCTTCATTGAAGATCTCTGTCTAGAAGTAGTTTTTGTGTTTATTCTTGTGTCTTTCCCAGGTGGAGCTTGGAATGCTAATTTCTCCTATAACGCTGCCTGTAATTGCAAACGTTCAAATGGGTACATGCATGGGTTCTTGAGTGTTCACTGCTGTTGTGTAGTTCTGACGCTCCACGTTAAATAGAATTGTTGTCAATCATTTGAGCTGCTAGTCTGCATTGACCATTTTCTTTCTGAAATACTCAAGGATACACAGGAAACTTCTTGATAGATTTAGGACTGTGCCTCTTCTGGTAGAGACCTTCAATGTGTGTCTGAAGTTGGAGATGCCTTGACTGATTACATAGCTTGTATAATCGGCTTTGCTGTGAGCAGGCAATTCTTTGAAATTAGATTTCTGGAGTGAGTAACAACCGAACCACAGTGACTTTCTGTAAACATCCTGGAATTACAGGAAAATAAATAACTGAATTCAGCAAATGTTTCTGCCTCTAGAATGTTTGTTGTTTTTTTAAAAAAACCCCACAAACACTGTGAAGCAGGAATAGAACAATGTAGTACCAGAATGGGAATAAACTTTCAGTGTCTACTCTGTTCTAGTAATTAACTGTTGTCAGCCTCTTTTACTCCACATAAAAGATTCTCTTAAAACCCAAAACAAAGAAAAGAAAAGTAAGATTGCATTCCTGAGAAGTTGTTTCCAGTTTAAGGCCTGTTGGCAGCATGTTCTTCTCAGCTGTAGGAGTTTAGGAGGTCAGAATGGATCCTACTGATGAGTTCTACCCTGTTGCCTGCATTGTTTTTGGGCAAAGGACTTACTGTCCTAATCCTTCCTGCTGCAAACTGGTTTAGATTACTCTCTTAATCAATGGCACAAAGTAGATTGTGGCTTGTAAAATGTGAGTTTGGTAGTGCTGTTGTCTTGTAGCTGGTATGACCTATGTCTCAAACACTGGAGTCTATTTCCTTGTAAGCCAGTAAACAGACAACAGTTGGTCTAGAATACTTAGCCAGATAGAAGCAATAGGCTGTAAATTGACTGACAGGTTTGAGAAATAATAAAGTAAAGCTTTTTTTGAACCTAAAGTTTGTATGAAAACCTGTATATTGGTAGAAGTTTAACTAGAGAATGAAAGGCATTGAGACTGTAATTTATTGTACAAATGAAGTCACACTCTAAAAACACTGCAGAGATGTTCTGAAATTCTTTGGTTTGGCTCTTTGTTCTCCTTTACCCTTTGTGTGTCTCCTCCCCCTTAGGGAATTATTGTGCTGTTTTGTACAGTGCTTTGAAGGCTTCTTTCTCTAGTCTAGATTTGTAACAGTTTTTGCCCTCCTTGCTGCTCCTTGTAGGCAGAGATATCATTGGACTGGCAGAAACTGGCTCTGGAAAAACAGGAGCCTTTGCTTTACCAATTCTTCAAGCACTACTGGAAACACCTCAGCGATTATTTGCTCTTGTCCTCACACCGACAAGGGAGCTGGCCTTCCAAATCTCAGAGCAGTTTGAAGCTCTTGGATCCTCCATCGGTGTCCACAGTAGTAAGTAGCTTTGTGATATTGGAGCAGTTTTCCTGAAGACTGAAGTTTGTCAGCTCTAGATTGCAAAGGGAAAAGTAGAGAGTATTTGTATGGAGGGTTGAACAAAAGGTGAGAAAAGCTTGTGATGCTGGAAGACAGAGATCTGGTATCAGGTCTGGGAAAGAAAGACTGTATGGTCTTTCCTCATGGAGTGGTCTGCAGCTCTTCTGCATTTTATGTCCAAACAGTTAAAGATGGAAGTAGGAGAGAATCTTCTCAATAGTAAATTTGTGTCAAGTGAAATTGCATAGAGCTCCACTCTATAGTGTGATGTAGTTTAATCTTTCCTTCAGACTGTCTGTATTGGTTCTTTACATATTCTCTACAAACATAAAAGCTTTGTGGGTATTTTTAGAATTCCTAGATTTTTGCAGCTGAGTTAAGCTGCAAGGAATAGATTCTGCCTGTAGCTCTTCAACTGTGAAAATAAAATACTCAGGGCCAGTAAGGACTTAATTGTGTGGTTTAAGAGGCCTGGGAAAGTCAGGTGTGCTAAAATAAAGTGAATTCTCATAAAGATAAGTAGCCTTTCATTTGTACAGAGTTGTTCTGGATGGCAGGGAGTAGGAGGAAACGCTATGGTGCCGGGGGCTAGCTGGTGCTACACTGAGAGATTCACTATATTCTATTTGTCCTGCAGCGGTTATTGTGGGTGGAATTGACACGATGTCTCAAGCTCTGGCCTTAGCCAAGAAACCACATGTTATAATTGGTAAGTTAACGTGCTGGGGGTACGAGATATGAATATTATCGAACCGCAGTTGTCCAAAGGAAAGAGTGCCAAAAGCTTTTGTGCATTTGAAGGAGAAGTGAGAGAGTACATAATTTATTTTTGTCCTGAGATCTGAGTACTGGCTTATTAATGTTTCTAGAGTATACACCAGTAGCCTTGGTGCTACAAGCTCATTCCAAAGCATTCCTGCTAGACTGCCTTTGGCTTGGTTTTTCATTCTCAAGTATGCAAAATGCTGGTCTCATCCCTCTCAGTACAATTTGCCTACAGTCTGTTTTGTTTTGCTTTTTTTTTTCTAGGGGGAGGGGTGGAAGGAGGGCATTCTGCAGAGAGTCTGACTCCATTAGTCTTATTTCAAAACACTTTGAAGATATTCTTCGAAAGAGTCCTTCCCATAAAGCAATCTGCCTTTACGTCTCTTGGGCAAAAAGTCCCATTTCTGTACGGATGACTCTCTTGCCTCCTTGGATCTTTTCCTTTGCTTTAATTCTAAATGTGCTCTCGTGATTTTGTTGGTAGCGACCCCTGGCCGTCTAGTTGATCATCTGGAGAACACAAAGGGCTTCAACTTACGAGCTCTGAAGTTCCTAGTGATGGATGAGGCTGACCGGATCCTTAACATGGATTTTGAGACAGAGGTAGGAATCTGCCAAAAGAAAGGTTTAGAACACCAGATGAGTCCCTCTAAAATTGCTTTGTACAGTCATGTAGTAAACACTGAGCTGTTCTGTAGAAATTAATAGCAAATTGTAACTAAGATCTAATAATTGCACAAAAGTCTACAGTGAGAGTAGAACTTAGTAGAGTTCTGCAGAGCACTAGCAAGACAGTAGGAGGCATTTTGTCTCTGAAATCTACTGGTTTCTCTGGAGCGCCTCACATTGACACAGTTCCTGTAGAACACAATCACATGCATGTTCCTGCAGGAATATTGCCTGGTATTTGCACTGCTATTGGATTTCTGGAGTTCACACTGCCTAATTGTCAACAAGCCATCAGCCTACACATTCCCTTTAGAAGAGGGGAAATTTATTCCTACTGTGAGTCTTAAGTTGCACACATGCATTACTCTTCATTTGGATGATCATTATATTTGGAGGAGGCTTATGTCTTGATTGCTGTTGTATTCAGCATTTCCGTTTCCTTTACATTTTTACAGGTAGATAAGATATTAAAAGTGATTCCTCGAGACAGGAAGACATTCCTGTTTTCTGCTACCATGACCAAGAAGGTGAGAGCAGAGTACTCTGCATTAGTTCTTCCATCAGGCTATACTGTTGACTAGACTGTGCGATACAGGTTTCTGACAAGATCTCCGTCCATCTCGTACTAACTTACATTGATATTCCCAGGTTCAAAAACTCCAGCGTGCTGCTCTGAAGAATCCTGTTAAATGTGCTGTTTCTTCCAAGTATCAGACAGTTGAAACTCTACAGCAGTACTACATTTTCATCCCATCCAAATTCAAGGTAATGCCACTTCTGTTTCTTCCCTCTTCCGATTGTGTCTTGTCTTCTTGTTTCCACATCTGCCAAATATCTTGTCATCTTCTCTGGCTTATACCTAGTCCTTAATGTGGCTTATGTGATTATCTTTTTTTTTTCTTTTTTTTTTTTTCTCTTCTCTGTTTCTTTACAGGACAGCTACTTGGTTTATATCTTGAATGAACTAGCTGGAAACTCTTTCATGATATTCTGTAGTACGTGTAACAATACTCAGAGGACTGCTCTACTGCTCCGCAACCTGGGGTTCACTGCCATTCCTCTCCATGGGCAGATGAGTCAGGTATGGGCATACCCCACAGAATGGAGTAGACAGGAGACTTATCGCTTTACAGAGAGAGCAGAACTTAGTAGAGTTCTGCAGAGCACTAGCAAGACAGTAGGAGGCATTTTGTCTCTGAAATCTACTGGTTTCTCTGGAGCGCCTCACATTGACACAGTTCCTGTAGAACACAATCACATGCATGTTCCTGCAGGAATATTGCCTGGTATTTGCACTGCTATTGGATTTCTGGAGTTCACACTGCCTAATTGTCAACAAGCCATCAGCCTACACATTCCCTTTAGAAGAGGGGAAATTTATTCCTACTGTGAGTCTTAAGTTGCACACATGCATTACTCTTCATTTGGATGATCATTATATTTGGAGGAGGCTTATGTCTTGATTGCTGTTGTATTCAGCATTTCCGTTTCCTTTACATTTTTACAGGTAGATAAGATATTAAAAGTGATTCCTCGAGACAGGAAGACATTCCTGTTTTCTGCTACCATGACCAAGAAGGTGAGAGCAGAGTACTCTGCATTAGTTCTTCCATCAGGCTATACTGTTGACTAGACTGTGCGATACAGGTTTCTGACAAGATCTTCGTCCATCTCGTACTAACTTACATTGATATTCCCAGGTTCAAAAACTCCAGCGTGCTGCTCTGAAGAATCCTGTTAAATGTGCTGTTTCTTCCAAGTATCAGACAGTTGAAACTCTACAGCAGTACTACATTTTCATCCCATCCAAATTCAAGGTAATGCCACTTCTGTTTCTTCCCTCTTCCGATTGTGTCTTGTCTTCTTGTTTCCACATCTGCCAAATATCTTGTCATCTTCTCTGGCTTATACCTAGTCCTTAATGTGGCTTATGTGTGATTATCTTTTTTTTTTCTTTTTTTTTTTCTCTTCTCTGTTTCTTTACAGGACAGCTACTTGGTTTATATCTTGAATGAACTAGCTGGAAACTCTTTCATGATATTCTGTAGTACGTGTAACAATACTCAGAGGACTGCTCTACTGCTCCGCAACCTGGGGTTCACTGCCATTCCTCTCCATGGGCAGATGAGTCAGGTATGGGCATACCCCACAGAATGGAGTAGACAGGAGACTTATCGCTTGGGAAATGGGCTGCACCATACTGAGTCACAATTACCTTGCAGAAGGAGTATTCCACAGCTAGTGGACTGGACTGATCCCTAGAAAGTTAACTCATGTGAATGCTGCCACTGATTCTGTAATAGTTCAAAAAGAAATTAGAGAAGTGAGATTTTTGAGTAGTTTCTCCCCCGGTTCTTCTGTACCAGTATTTCAACAAGAGCATATTAACCAGAATGAGCATTATCCTCTCATTCCCTTTTTGTCCTCCTCTCTTCCAGAATAAACGCTTGGGCTCTCTAAACAAGTTCAAGGCAAAGGCACGTTCTATTCTGCTGGCTACTGATGTTGCAAGCAGAGGTCTGGACATCCCACATGTAGATGTGGTAATAAACTTTGATATTCCTACGCACTCTAAGGTAAGCTAGTCTATGTGCTAGCTGAGAGCTTCTGGTCACCGGGAGGCATAGTGAAGCTAGACAAAGGAACAAAGACACCTTTTCTCTGTTCTGCTGACTGGAAGTCTAGTTCACACTTCTGTAGATTAGAAGATGTAGTTCAGCCTCTGCAATTGAGTTGGTATCTCAGTTTGGTTGGGTGGCCTCATCTGGATTGTAGAACTGATCCCATAAGTGAAGAGAGGAAACGAGGGATGTTCTGTGTCTTTGTATTTCTGCTCAGAGTATGTGTTTTGCCATATTACATTAAAGGGCTTCTAGACTTTGAAAATAGTTTTAACATATTACTAGTTTCAGGTAGTCATCTCTGTTCCTGTCATCCAGGTCTGCCTTCACATTTTAAACTGTGTTTTTTTTTAAAAAAAAAAAAGTAAAAATTCTCCCATTATGTTCAATGAGGATTTAATCAAGAAAGATGTCTTTAATATGTTTCACCTTCACATCACAAAAGTACAGCAAACTGAAAAAAAGTGCGTTACTAACTTTCTACCTTACAGAAAGTATAGTATTATCTTAGGGGTCTGACTTTGTTTCCCAGCCTAGTTTCAGAAAGCATACCATTAACATGCATTTCAGGAATTGCTGTTGTTCCTTATAATGATCAAAGATTTTACACATTGCAAACAGAAGTAAGTATGGTGGTTCTTTTGAAGACGCTGCTTTTGACATTGTTAAAGGACAAAAGTTAAAAAAAATAATGGTGGGGGCAGCAGCTTGAATGACGTCATTAGAGTTTTTGTGTCCCTCCCTCTCGTCTAACCATGTCACAGAACACATCCTTTCTCATGATGCTTCCTTTCTCCACAGATCCTACATGGAGAAGGGAATATTGTAATTTCCATAATGCAGTACAAAACCTGGAAAACAGCCTAGAACCATATAAACAGAAGACGCTCAATAGATCAGACGCTTCCAAATTGTTTTCATTCATCCTTCCTTTCACTGTGCTTGCCAAATTTAAATCTGCTTGCCAGAGAGTTTGCCTGAAAGACAGACTATGTAGAGTACTAGATCCCAAGACTGAAAATGCAGGCATTGGCTCACTTTAAATATTAGCTTTCCAAGGAATTGGTAGTTCATTAGTAAAGTCATGTATCACAACTTTTGTCCTGCAATCTTGAATAGTTGGAGGTGGTCTTTTCCTTTAGAAAGAGAAGAATTCAAACGTTAAAACCAAAGATATGCCTCCACAAGCCAGCATCTTCTCAAATCCTAATCCTGCACACGGTCCCACGTATTTAATCCTGGCTGTATTTTCTCCCCTTTTTCTTTCCTAACGAAAAATTATATGGGCTGATTTCCCATAACTTCTGTTCTGTGTTTGGTGCACATATCTTATTGCTTATCAAGAAAATTGTTTTCAGGATTATATTCATCGTGTTGGGAGAACAGCTCGAGCTGGGAGATCTGGCAAATCTATCACTTTTGTCACACAGTAAGTGTTAAAATGTGGCAGACTTATTCTTCCCAGCTGTATTTCAGAGCAGAAGACATCTGACCTCATCCTGGGTGGGAGGAAAATACTACTTTTCATTTTGAGGTGCCAGTTGGATTTATTTAATTAAAGGGGAGAGAATTCAAAGCCCAGGGTGGGGAGGGAGAAAGGTCTGGGATAAATTCTAGAAGCAGGCATGTAATGAGCAGAACTAACTGTTTATAACTTGATTATATAATATACATACATTTTTATAATATATAATGCAGGTTAAGTAAGTGTGGTTTTTTTAAGTACTGAAGTATTTGTCTAAAAAAAGCCTTTGCCAAATACTTCTGAACAGAGATGAGCTGAATAAATCAGTGAAGCCATCCCGAACGATGGCATCATTCGAATGCAATTAAGAGTTGCTTATGAGACCATCAGCACAAGCTAACAATATCTGTGGGCTGGAGATAAGGGGTGATGTCTCTGGGTGGTGACAGCTGAAGCACTCTCAGGAGGGCTGATTCAACCTGGTGTCTTGTCTTTTCTCAGGTATGATGTAGAGCTGTTCCAGCGCATTGAACACCTGATTGGCAAGAAGCTGCCAGCATTCCCCATGCAAGAGGAAGAAGTTATGATGCTGACAGAGCGCGTGGCTGAGGCCCAGAGATTTGCTCGAATGGTGGGTGGTGGCTTTTTGTCCCTCTACTTGCTGTTGTAGTCTGAATTTCCTCGTGTGCCAGAACTCTTGGTCAATCTCTTGATTGCATTGCAGGAGCTGCGGGAGCAGGGAGAGAAGAAGCGAACTCGGAATGATAATGATGATGATACAGAAGAAGCTATTGGTGTCAGGAATAAGGTGGCAGGTGGGAAAAAGAAGAAAAGGAAAACCTTCTAGCTCAGTATTTGGACAGACTTTATTTTATTTTTTCTCTTTATGGCTACATGAACTCGGCAAAAATGGTCTACCAAGCCTTCTCCAGTGGATTTTTTTCAGAACTACTTATTATTAAATTGGGCAGTCTACCTGGAAAACAACTTCCTCTCTTCTGCTTCACCAGTTACACACTGAGCTTGGCCCATTGTGGTTCCATGAGACTAGTCTTCCTTTCAGAGACAGCAGACCTGAAAGCAGTTGTGGGCTGGTCCTGCTCATTCACAAAGAGGTGCAGTGTAGGTGCAGCTTTCCCACTGCTGCAGCCTGTCTCACTACCCAAACTCACTGAGTGCATCTGGGGTCAGATAGGTCTGTCAGAAGAAAGAGAGGAAAAAGTTAAAAGAAGCAACTGAGTTTCCACAGCACAGCTGTGATGCCCTTGCCTTAGTGAAGGGACATGTGACATGGAGAACTCCAAATATATTTTGCTTAATTTTAAAGCTACTTGGTTTTCCTTGTCTTAGCGCTGACCTGTTCTGCTCATTTTGAATATCGGCTCTGCCAGAAGGTTTTCTTATTACATCAGCCTTAGCGACTCAGATGTGACATCAACGCCTTAGATGTTGGCTGAAGAGTGGCCCAGCACAGAGAGAACCTGTTTGGGCAGGATTAGGCTATTCACTGCCTGGAATTCGATCCAGAATCTGTAATGATTGGCAAGATCAAGGAGAGGTCTGGGTTTGGTGGTTTTTTTGTGGCTGATTCCTGTAGTACATACAAGACAACGCAAGAGGGTGGTATTTACATAGGAAAGCAGCTCACAAACTGGGTGGTGGAGAAAAACGGGTATCATAAAGGCCCTTTCTGTGTTGCCCTATTTATTTCTCTGTCTTAGGCAGAGTTCAGTGCCGCATAAGTAGACTCTTGCAAGAATGGGATAAATGTACTTATCTTCATATCAGACCAGAAGGTTAGTGCCAGTTTCCACTGGCAATAAAAATTTTCACAGAGACATTTCTGCTGGTGGGCAGAGGAGGGTGAGAAACTCCTTCATGATCACTCAACATGAAAATTTAATGTCCGTTAGAACCACTCATAAACTTGGTTTTCTGCTACGTGAAAAGTAATGTTCAAAAGATTCTTTTTAAGGTCTAAGTGGAAAGCAGAAACTACTGCAGTAGTCAAGATGAGCACAATGGTTACTTCATAGTGTCAACATAAATCTAATATACGCATGTATGCTAGTCAGAATGCTTTTATACTTTTGTTTGGGGCAGCACATTTTACAAAATTACAGAAAACACAGCATGGTTAAAACTAATAAGGGGAACATGTTTTTTTCTTTTTTATTTAAAACACCTCTGTTGTCTTCATGAGGAACAAACGTACTCTCTGGTGTAAGAAGAGTGCCAGTGTTCTTTGGTGTTTGTTTTTTATTTTTAGCAGTTTACTCAAATCTCCCAAATATTCACCTTCAAGTTTGATAGCTCTAAAGCAGTCTAGGATCAGTGGCAGATAAGTAAGGGTACAGATCTTGGGTATGTTGACTGCTAAGAGCATTCTTACAAAGCAGGAAGAGAGTGTGTGTCCTAGTGCAGAGAGGTAGGGGTGGAAGTCCAGTAATGAGAACATGTTAATTCTGTGGGGCCCTTTGGTAGGGATCCCCACAGGTAAAAGGAAACAGCCCTAGAATGCACCACAGAGAGAGGGATAAAATGAGTGAGCATATGGGTGGAGATGCAAATGCTTGTTCCCCATGGAGCAAGGGAACTTTCCTGACTGGCTTTCTGTCCTGCTGGATGCTTGAACAAAATTTCTTATCCTTCACAAGCAGGACAGGGTTGGTCCCGCTATCAGCAAATGAAGATTAAATCCGTCTGAGACTCTGGGTCTCTGGAAAACCTGTCAGTGTTATTCCCAGTTATGTAACGGGTGGCATGCAGAGCCAGTCCCGAACCAATCTTGTAAAATGATGTGAAGGGCAATTTTACTGCTGGAGGAGGTAGGGCAGGATCATTCCTTTCAGACGCAGTATGAGGCTTTCTTTAATAGATCAGTGGAGTCTCTAGCATCTCTCTGTGTTCGTGTGTGGAAGGCTGCAACAGCAGAGGGAATCTGTCTTGCCCCTTGATGGGGTGAATGATTCTCTGTCCCTCCTCTGCAGCTGCAAGAGTAACAGAGGAGAGAAGTAGAGCTGCTCCTTGTAAAAGGGTGCAGAACCTCCTTGAGAGGAGTGACTCCTAGACAGCTGGCCACCTCCCTTGATCTGGAATGACAAGCCATAGAAACACTTGGCACTAGAAAAGCAAAGGTCTCACCACACCCACATTCTCACCAGTGACTCACCTGCCACAGGTATGTGCATTCAAGTTCAGCTAAAAATATCTCAACAGGTTGGAGGGGCAAGAAATAGTTTATTTTGACTATACCATGAGGACTAGGTCAGAGGGTGTTTGTGTAACTGAAGTGGAAGAGGGAGTGTCTAAAGATGTATTTGGTCAAAATAGAATTTGCAGCCAGGCTAAAGCAAAATCTGTAGCTGATCTAATGAAACATGAGGGGAAAAGAATGGAGTAAGACCTGTCTCTGGATAAAAGACAGTTCAGAAAATACCAGCACTGGTACGTGTGTGGCTGCATACTTTCGTAAAACAACTGGCGACAGTGTATTTGTTCAGTCAGGAGGACTCTTGAGGGGCAGTTCTGAAGCACACCTCTCTGCACACCTCTTGAGTCTTTGCACAGCAGGGAGCTGAAGTGGAAGATTAACCTTGGTGTGACGTAAGGCAGGATCGGGCTAACACAACCTGTCATTTTTTTGTGGTTGAAACTCGAGTGAAGTTTCAACAAAAGCTGTGTTCTCAAAAGATGTTCAGTGGGGATGTTTGCAGTTTGAAACAATTCTGCACTTCCAAAGTCCATAACGAGAAGGTGATTGTTTATATACTTGTAATAGGTATTTTAAAAATCAAAACTATAAAACATTATTTAATACGGCATAGGTAGCTACCTCGGGCAGTAAAGAATGGGGATATAGTGTCTTTCATTTAAATGTTCTAGAGCTAGCAGAAGTGGGACAATCCTTTCAAGGCGAGGAGTAAAATTAAACATTGATGTCAGTGTGAATAACTGACTTCAAGATAAGTGAGGAGGATAGCTGCAAAAAGTAGCAGTCCCTGCAACCACGCAGTGGTCCAGAGCAGAAGCTGCGCTGAATTGACCTGTCTGAAATGGATTTGGCCGTCTCAGTTCCCCGGTGCCGTGCACCTGCTGCCTAGGGGCTGCAAGGGAAGACGTGGGCAGGAAAGCATAGCTGGGAACCAGGGTGGGGAATCCAGGGCTTTTTTCTGTGGTGGCAGCCTGAGCCTAAGTCTGCGTAAAATAATCACGAGGAGCACAGCCTGTTCCAAGGACCTGGCAGCCCACCTTCCCCCCTGCCCCAAAAAAGTAGAAATGACCAAGAGGGAGAGCTAAGTATGATGACTTTCTAGCAACACCATTAATTCGTGCTGAGAAGAGGCTCAGTTTAGGAGGGAACTCAGAGTAAGAAGTGATTTGGAATCTGGAGGGCCTTAGTTCACAAAGCAGGACTGAAATTAGTAAACATTCCCAGTTTAGCCAAGCACTGAAGAAGGAAAATATCCCACATAGTTAAAAGCCCTTGGAAGTACTTAAGAAGGAATGGAATTGATTGCATGACTTGTGAAAGACACAGGCATGTACCAAGCATTTTGATGTTGTATAAATGTGAAGTTGTGGTTTGCCTGCAATGGCATGTGAGGAGCTTCTGTAGACATTCAAGTGAGCAATTAATTCTTGTAAATGTTGCAGAGCAAATGCTGTAAAAATCCAGCTTTGGTCCCAGAAGTTGTTCATGTAGTCATTCTGAATTCTTACTGCTCTTGCTTATGCACTTACCAGTAGACTTTTTGGGGAAAAAAAACTACCACTGTGTAAACATGGAGAATCAGAATATGAGTTTCTGATGGAATCCCAAGCTTTGGGGTTAACTCCTGAACGTTTTTTTAAAAAAAAAAAGTTAAAAGACACTTTCTTAGTCTTTAGATGGCTTTTTTCCCTGGTCAGACTATGAAAGCTCCTTCTCAATAACAGTATTTAAAAGGGAGAGCTAAGGATGTTTCGTTCCTCTGGCACCTAAGAAATGGGAATGGTCGCTTGCTCTCTGGCCGAGGGATGAATACAGCCATGCCTCCAGTGCTGTATCTCTTCCTGAGGACCCTTCAGGTGTGGAAACTTATGATGATGACAATAACAATTTCTCTCTGCTTCCAAAGCCCCCTGGGACAGAGGTACCTGCCTTCCTGAACATGATAATCAAGTACACGTCATGGATCATGGTAGGATGTGTGTTGGACTGTGCCAAGGTCATGCCTAGTTGTGCCATAGGAGACAGTGGCGCTGTGCAGTCTTCAGCTGTTGACATTGTAGGTCCTCAGGGAGGGGTGGATGCCCTTGGAGCTTGTTCAGCACTTTTTCAGGGAAGCTTCTAGAAGCCTGAAGCTGTGTTTACTAGAGGCTGACACAGGGTAATTCTACGTCCCCAAAGGGAAGAGGACTATTTTCATCTTTGCTTTCTCTGCTGGAGAACTCTCATCGTTGCAGGGATGTATATGCGGCTCTGTTGCCTCTCCCTAAAATAAACTCTAGGGATAGGACTCTGTCAAAAGTTTCTGGCTTCCCTTGGGCTTAGTGTTTGTGTAATGGTTCCTGAGGAAAGGGAGATGCAATGTGGACCTTCTGTGCAAAAAGGGGGAAATCCTTCCATTCAAATCCTAGCAAAGGCAGAAAAAGAACCCTGTTGCAGGCCTCTCACAGAGATTATTCCTTCTGTCCATCACTTCCTCCTCCCTATTTGATATTGTCAAGGAAGGCAGGTTTTTTGGCACGTGTTTCCCATTTGGACTGATTTTAGTCCCCTTTAATCCTCCTCAAGATTTTCACCCACAAACACATCTCTGTAAAGAAAGGTAAATAGCAAAACTTGCTCTGCAAGTCATCTGTGTAAGATAGAGGAGGGTTGCATGATAAGGTTGAATTGCTTGAGTTATGCTGGCTTTCCAGAAGACTCATCTGTGTAAGATAGAGGAGGGTTGCATAAGGTTGAATTGCTTGAGTTGTGCTGGCTTTCCAGAAGAAAATGA